AAGAAAACTGTTTAATACAGAAGTAAAGGTTTGTAAAAATAAACATGACTGGAAAAAAAAAGATGATGTGAGGCTGTATTTGAAATGATTGCTCAGGCTGGGAGAAAAACAATTAAAACCAGAATGGAGGTGAATAACAGAAAGTTAGGGATGATAGATCAGAGGTTATACTTTGGACAAAGAGTAGATTTAGTAGGCATAGAAGAAAGGAAAGAACCGTGTTTCAGAAATAAGATTTTCAGAATTTGAAAGTTCTTAGGTGGACCTTTCCAGAACGTAATAAAGTTTACCCTGTATCATTAATTAAAGTAGAATAGAGGAAAATTAGAGGTGCAAGAGTGTTTATTGAGGGGGCAGTGGAACTTGTGCTGACGAATTATAAATGGGACCTGAAAAGACGGCTTCCCCAATTTCTGGCTTGGTGAGACTGGTGGCATTGAAATGGTTGAGAGAAATACAGTTTAGCAGAATGAAATGTTGTTTATTTACATGTTTTTCCTCTCCAGCATGGTCCAACGTAATTTGTAAGTACATGATGGCTTATCTATATCAGTCTCAAATGAGACTGGTCTCCTAGGAAATTTTCCACAATACTTATTGAGCAGTAAGTGCCACTAAACATACAGTACTGGTTCTCAGATACCTTATTGTTTTGATATAATATAGCTTCAATATGTTATTGATTTAATAATATAGTTATGATATAATGTGATAATATTTCCTGATGTTTTGGTGTTCTCTCTGTGAGTCATTACCCATATTACCTATTTTTAAAAATAATTAATTAATTGTTGGGCTGCGTTGGGTCTTCGTTGCTGCACATGGGCTTTCTCTAGTTGCAGGGAGCGGGGGCTACTTTGTTGCGGTGCACAGGCTTCTTATTGCAGTGGCTTCTCGTTGCAGAGCACGGGCTCTAGGCACACAGGCTTCAGTAGTTGTGGCACACGGGCTCAGTTGCTGTGGCTTGTGGGCTCTAGAGCACAGGCTGAGTAGTTGTGGTGCACGGGCTTAGTTGCTCTGCGGCATGTGGGATCTTCCCAGATCAGGGATCGATCCCGTGTCCCCTGATTTGGCAGGTGGATTCTTAACCACTGCGCCACCAGGGAAGTCCGACCTATTTTTTCTTTGTGGGTTATTCTACATTCAGACAGGAAAAATAATATAGTACAAGTCCAAGATTAAAGATATTTTGTAGAAACATACTTGTTATCTTAGATGTGCACTGTCAGTGTGGTAGCCACCAGCCACATGTGGCTATTGAGCACTTGAAACATGGCAAGTCCAAATTGAGATGTGACATAAGTGTTAGTTACAGTATGCATTGGGCTTTGAAGACTTAGTACAAAACAGAAATTTAAAATAGCTTGTTAAGTTTTTTTATATAGACTATAGGTTTTAAATGACAATAATGTGTATATATATTAGATTAAATAAAATATATTATAAAAATTAATTTTACCTGTTCCTTTATCACTTTTTAATGTGGCTGCTAGAAAATTTAAAATTTCATAAGTGGCTTGCATGTATGACTCATGTTATATTTTTGTTTAACAGAAAGAAACCCACCTCCCTTTTTTTCTGTAATCAAATGTGTAACTGTTTGCTGAATTATAAATCCTTAGTGGGAAAGCAAAAAAAAACAAAAGAATTTGGTGTGTGAGTATGTTTAATGAAATTTGCTGTGAATAGATTTTAAAATAGGTACAAAATGCCAATGGCATTCTTCAGAGAACTAGAATAATTCTAAAGTTTGTATGGAAACGCAAAAGGCCCTAAATAGCCAAAACAGTCTTGAGAGAAGAACAAAGCTGGAGGTATCATGCTCCCTGATTTCAAACTATATTATAAAGCTACAGTAATCAGAACAGTATGGTACTGGCACAAAAATGGATACATGGATCAATGGCACATAATAGAGAGCCCAGAAACGCATCCACATTTATATGGGCAATTAATCTATAACAAAGGGCCAAGAATATACAGTGGGGAAAAGACAGCTTCTTCAACAAATGGTGTTGGGAAAACTGGGCAGCTACATGAAAAATAATGAAACTGGACTGCTCTCTCACACCATGCACAAAAACAAGTTCAAGATGGATTAAAAGGACTTCCTTGGTGGCGCAGTGGTTAAGAATCCACCTGCCAATGCAGGGGACACGGGTTTGAGCCCTGGTCCAGGAAGATCCCACATGCCACAGAGCAACTAAGCCTGTGCACCACAACTACTGAGCCTGCGCTCTAGAGCCCACGTGCCACAACTGCTGAAGCCCGTGTGCCTAGAGTGCGTGCTCCACAACAAGAGAAGCTGCCACAATGAGAAACCCGCACAGCACAACAAAGAGTAGCCCCCGCTCGCCGCAACTAGAGAAAGCCCACATGCAGCAACGAAGACCCAACGCAGTCAAAATAAATAAATTAATTTAAAAAAATAACCGAAAAACCAAAATGGATTAAAGACTTAAATGTGAGACCTGAAACCATAAAACTTCTAGAAGAAAATATAGGCAGTACCCTCTTCAACATCGGTCTTAGTAATTTTTTTTGGATATGTCTTCTCAGGCAAGAGAAACAGGCAAAACTAAACAAGTGGGACCACATCAAACTACAAAGTTTTTGCACAGCAAAGGAAACTATTAACAAAACAAAAAGACCACCTACTGAATTGGAGAAGATATTTGCAGATAATATATTCAGTAAGGCGTTAACATCCAAAATATACAAAGAACTCATACAATTCAACATTAAAAAAAAAAACTTGATTAAAAAATGGGCAGAGGATCTGAGTAGACATTTATCCAAAGAAGACATACAGATGGGCAACGGGCACATGAAAAGATGCTCAGTATCACTAATCATCAGGGAAATGCAAATCAAAACTACAATGAGATATCACCTCACACCTGTCAGAGTGGCTATTATCCAAAAGACTGCAAATAAAAAGTGTTGGTGAGTCTGTGGTCTGTGGAGAAAAGGGAATCCTTGTGCACTGTTGGTAGGAATGTAAGTTGGTGCAGCCACTAGGGAAAACAGTATGGAGATTCCTCAAAAAATTAAAAATAGAACTGCTGTATGATCCAGCAGTTCACTCTGGGTTATTTATCTGAAGAAAACAAAAACACTAATTATAAGAGATACATACACCCCTATGTTCATTACAGCATTAATGAACCAAGATATGGAAGCAACCTAAGTGTCCATCAGTGGATGAATGGATCAAGAAGATGTTGTCTGTGTATGTGTATATTATTATTCAGCCATGAGAAAGAAGGAAATCCTGCTGTTTGTGACAACATGGATGGGCCTTAAGGACATTATGCTAAGTGAAGTAAGCCAGACAGAGAAAGCCAAATACTGTGTGATTTCACATATATGTGGGATCTAAAAAAGCAAATGAACAAACATAGCAAAACTGAAACAGAATTATAGATATAGAGAACAAACAGGTAGTTGCCAGAGGAGAGGAGGATGCAGAGAGGAAAGAAATAGGTGAGGGAGATTAAGAGGGACAAACTTCCAGTTACAAAATAAATGAGTCAAGGGGATGGAATGTACAGTGTGGGGAATACAGTCAGTAACTGTGGAATATTATTGTGTGGTGACGTATTGTAATAGACTTTTTGAGATGTATAGTAACATCAACTTACACTGCTGTGTTTCAGGAAGTAACATAGGGCTGTAGGTCAGTTATACTTGAAAAACAGACTCAGAACAAGAGACCAGATATGTGGTTACCAGAAGTGAGGAATCAGGGGAGGGGAGATTGGATGAAGACAGTCAAAAGGTACAAACGTCCAGATATCAGGTAAATAAGTACTAGGGGGCTTCCCTGGTGGCGCAGTGGTTGAGAGTCCGCCTGCCAATGCAGGGGACACGGGTTCGTGCCTCGGTCCAGGAAGATCCCACATGCCGCGGAGCGGCCGGGCCCGTGAGCCGTGGCCGCTGAGCCTGCGCGTCCGGAGCCTGTGCTCCGCAATGGGAGAGGCCACAACAGTGAGAGGCCCCCGTACCGCAAAAAAACAAAGGACTAGGGGTGCGGTGCACAACAGGATAAAGATAATCAGCACGGCTGTGTGTTGTATGTGAAAGTCATTAAGGGAGAAAATCCTAAGACTTCTCGTCACGAGGAAAAGGTTGTTTTCTATTTCTTTAATTTTGTATCTGTATGAGACAATGGATGTTCACAAAACTTACTGTGATAATCACTTCATGATGCATGGAAGTCAAATAATTATGCTGTACACTTTAAACTTACACAGTGCTGTATGTCAGTTATATCTCAAAACTGGAAGAAAAAATAAGTACTTATATTAGATTTCTAATTATTTTAAAGTTATGTCTAATGGATGGTATTAAACTTTAGTGATAAAGGTACCTGAATACCGAGCTTTAGCTGACTAGTCTTGACATCTGAAAGTAGACCTTGCTTTGCCTTACAGATCTCTAAGTGCATTATCGGATTGTCAGCTGCAGCTAGATTGTATTCTCTGATACAGCAGGTGTCATGTTTGGTGACACTTACGGTTTTCTTTCTAATTTTGGATTTTCTAAAGTAGTGTAGCATCACTTGGGAACTTGTTAGAGATACTGATTCTTGAGCCCCAACCCTGCCAAATTGGAAACTGGTGGCTTGGCCTGGCATTCTGTTTAAATCCTCCAAATGATTCTAAACTTTGAGAAACATAATAGATTATACCACTTTTAAAGAAGTAGCAAAGTTCAGCCCCTTTATATAAATTCTCCAATTTTGTCCCCTTTATTCAGATCTATTTATTTTGATTACACCATAATTTAACGGATGTAAATTTTATTTTATTATGGAAGTGCTCACAAAATTTTAGGGTTTCATTTCTAAATAGTCACAGTTGTATTTAGAATGGTATTTTATTTGATTCTTATGAAAGTTTACTATAAAAGTATCATTTAGGCAACTGTACACATCTATTTGGAAGGAATTACGTTCCTTTCTTTTCAATTAATCATTTGTAAAAATGTTATATTAGGTGGATGCTCTGCGGTTGCGTTTGGAAGAGAAGGAAACCATGCTGAATAAGAAGACAAAACAAATCCAGGACATGGCTGAGGAGAAGGGGACACAAGCTGGAGAGATCCATGACCTCAAGGACATGCTGGATGTGAAGGAGCGGAAAGTTAATGTCCTTCAGAAGAAGGTGAGGTGCAGGTGTTCTGAGCCCAGGGCCCCTCATCAGACCCACGTCCTCATTCCTACCACTGAGCTGTACCTAAGTGCTGTCAGAGATTCTCTCTCCTTCCTCTGTTTATATTTTTGCAGGTCGTAATTGAAACCCTTGCTGCAGGAGGTAGATTGTGAAAACTGTTCTGTATATTCAGTTTTTAAACGTTCGAAGTAAACACTGTTTGGTATCTTCAGTAGTATTTTCTGTGCTACTGTCTCTGAGAGGTGCCTTGTAAACTGCCAGAGTATTTGCATTGGCGTGCTTCCACCTCTCCTCATCTTCTGTCTCGTATGGCAACTGTAGGGCCATGAATTAGTGTAGTACGTGGGCCGGGATTCTTGCAAGAGTGCAATTTTGAATAGAAACACATGCTACTATAATGACATCTAATCTACATACGTCAAGGAAAGGAAGGCTTTCTTTCCTATTTTACCTTAATCATAACTGGAAAGAGGCTAACACTGTAATGAATAAGGAAAGTACTAATAATTGTCTTCCCCTCCCCCTTTTAGCTAAAGAAAAGGGTACCTTTGAGATAATAGTTATAGTAGACACTGGTATTTATTGTGCTTCTCCACTAAGGGGATAGATCAGAAATATTTGACATTGTCCCAGTTTATTTTTAACCTCTAACAATAGCCCAGGCATAAAACTCTCTTCGCTAAACCTCAAATTCAGCTTTTCTTTTGTGTACAGAGGACCATGTTCAATATTTGCCCTCTATTAATTGGGTTTTCATTTGCTTTCAATGAGTAAACATAAAAATTTGATCACTCTAGATAAGTGACTGTAGTATCTTGTTAGTGGATGCTCCTTTGTTTTACATTTTTATACATATGTTCTTCTCACCTTACCCCCAGCTGCTCACTTCCCCTTACCGGTTTCTTGGATACGCTTCCAGGCACAGTTTATATATACACAGGCAAATACGTATTCTCTTTTTTTCTGTTTACCTCTTTCTGTGTTCTTCCATAAACATTTTATGCATAATCCATATAAAGCAAAAATGTCTCTCTAAACACAAATGTCACAATTCCTTTATTTCCCTTTGCTTTTCCTTTTTTTTCCATTAATATACTTTGAAACTTCTTCCAGGGCTTCTTCATTGTTAACAGCGCTGTGTGGATGTGCTGCGCTTTATTACAAGGTTTCCACGGATGGGCAGAGTCTGCTTAAAGTTTCTGCTGTTATGTAAAATGATGCTGCATTTTAAAAATGTGCATATTTAGTTTATTCATAAGTGAAGTATATTTCTAGGTAAATTACTTAAAGTAGAATTGCTGGGTGAAAGGATATGCATTTGTAACGTTGGTGGATTTTGCCAAGTCACAAGTACATTGGTTAGAACCCAGAGGTTGTTTGAAGGTAATGCACATCTTATTTTTAACTAGATAAGCATTAAAAAAGTTTTTAATAACTGTGAACAGGGGTTTGAAGTTAGAAATAACACCTCGTCATCGTGGAATAATCATAGTTTGTAAAAATAGAGTGGCAGCACTTATGTTAGCCACTTTATATCTGTAATCTTGTTTAATCCTTGCAACTTTTTGGTAGTGGATTTTAGATCTTGATTGCTCTGTTATAATCAGTGGCTAAATTTTTAGGCCATGACACATAATAAGAAATATATTTTACATTAATCTGTATCAACATATGGTATACATGCTTAGAGATACAGCTATATTTTCACAAAATATACTCTGAACTATCTTCTCCCATTTCTTAAAGGAAATAGAAAAATGTTAGTCCCAATCCATTAAGTTATTTCAGTACTCACTAATAAAACACTTTTACACCTTGGTATCCATTCTCTCATGCTCCCCTTTCCTGCCCCCAAAACAAAAACAAGCCCCAAACCAACAAAGTCCCAGACATATTACATAATAAGGGAGGTGCAAATTTGTACAACGTTGTTTCGCTAAAAAAGTGGTAGCTTCAGGTTGTCACGAGGTTGGTCTTATTCCAAAATGCAGCTTTTCCTGTGACAACAGCTTCCCTGTTGGGAGGATTAGACAGTAGTATGTGTTCAAGCTTTTTGACACTACAGGACATCATACAAATATAACATGTATTATGCTTTGCCTAGTCTCTTTGCCTTTCGCTGTGGAGGGCCAGTGGAGTAGGCTCTAGAGGGCCAGTAACTGTGCTCTTTTTAGTACACTAGCTGCCTCACTAATTTGTCATGTTATAGACTTTGATTTGTCTTCAAACAGTTATCAAATAGGTAGCACAGTTACTTTCAAAACTGGTTTAGATTATTACTGCTTCTTTTAAGATAATGCCTCTATACCTGTCATTTTCAGTGCTTAGAGCCTTTATGTTCTGCCTGCTTATTTTGTTGTAGAAGTTACTATACTAACGTCATTAGACTTGATGTTCGTGATGTGTTTCCTGGACCACTGTTTGCTGATAAAATAGAAATAACTTTAATTTTAGGATCCACATAAACAAAAAGACACAGTAAGTTTAGAGGCAGTTAAAGGTTCTCAAGAGAGCTATAATTATTCTTATTATGGTTTTCCTTTCTTGAGGTGCAAACATCTTCTTGCTCCAGGATTCTTTGAGCAAAAGCTTGATTTTCAGGTGGTTGACAGAGGGGAGCTGGCTGAGTGCGAGACTGGGGGTTGAGGGAGTAGAGTGAACTCTGATGAGCTGGGCTGTGGTGATATGGTGGCTTCAGGAGGCCGTGTGAAAGGTGATGAGCCACACAGACAGGATGTAGAAGGCACCATCTATGGAGTAGATCATGTAGGAGATCTGGGAGAAGAGCGACAGGATTGGAGATGAAATGGCCCAGACGATGGTGACTGTGGAGGCCACATATCTGGCGTTTATTGCACTACAGGATGTTGGTGATAGCCAGTACCCGTCCACAGCAGTGATGCAGAGATGCACACGGCACGTGATTCCAGAAGACAGCCAGATGTCACATAAGATTTGGCCAAAGTTCCAGGTGTGGGTGATGGTATAGGTGATGCAGATGGCTATGACCAAGATGAAAGCCAAGAAGATTGGTCTTGGCCAGGGAGCCAGTGAGATAGTTGGCTGGTGTGTGGAGCTTCCTGGTAAGGAAGACGGTGAGAAGCACAAAGGCTTGCGTGAGGACTTTGGTCCATGCGATGATGGAAAGGACCTCAGCAAGAGAGATCTTGAGTTCCTGGAAGGTCCCAGATCCCAAGCCTCTGGGGTTTCTGCAGCATTCAGGATCTGTTAGAGGCCCTCAGGAAGAGGCCTTCTGCTGGCGGGTTTCAGGGGGCGTCCTAGGTGGCTCTCTCCATACTCATAACTCCTTCTTCCACAGTTGTCTTCCCCACAGAACAAGAGCATCCTTCCATTTCACACCGGAGGGCGACATTTATCACATGAATAGACACAGTGAAAAGACCCCAGGTCTTACTTGTATTAAGAACACGGAGGTGACTCAGCTGTAATCAAAGGTTGTTCTAACTCAGACGAATCCCAAGGTCTCTCACTCTTCTGGAACTCTGGTAGACACATGCTGAATTTGTTAGATAATCATCGGGTTACCCACCAGCGTGGACAGAGCTCTACAGGTCTTGCTTTTGGCCTTTGGGCTCTTTCCAAAGGCTTGAGGCTCTTACTGTTTGATGATATATTCAGAATTTCCCCCACTCTTTTCTGTTATGAGAAGATTCTGGATTTCAGGTTGTCTCCTGGGAACTTTGAAAGCTCGAGCACCAGCCGATTAAGAGAAGCAGTTCAGTCAACAGCCCACAGTTTTCCCAGGTTAATCTTGACACATAATGAGGTACTTGTTTTGGTTCCTTTTCCACTGATCATTTCTGAGCCGGGAGAGAGAAACGTTCCAGTTACCAAGACTTGAAGAATGCGTGAGTGCGGAGAGCACAAACAAATGGCTCGCTGTGAGTTCCCCAAGAGGAGCATGGGGTCAGCAGCCCCTCCCTGGCCACATGAGTGCTGTGGTGCGGCCCTTCCCCCTTCCTCCTTGCTTGTCACCTGGTTTTGTCCCACCTTAGCTACAACCCCCAGCCGAGCACTTTCCGCTGGGCTCTTCCCTTCCCTATGCCTTTGAGATGCCCCCCTATTGCTTTCTTCTTCTTCTTCTTGTTAAATTAACAGGCTTTATTTTTAGGGCATTTCCCCATTTACTCCCCGCCCACAGTTTCCCGTTATTAACATCTTGCATTGGTGTGGAACATTTGTTAAAATTGATGAACCGATATTGGTACATTATTATTGACTAAAGTCTGTAGCTTACAGTAGGTTTCACTCTTTGTCTTGTACAGTTCTGTGGGTTTTGCCAAATGTATAATGACATGGATCCACCATTACAGAGTCATACAGAGTATCTTCACTGCCCTATAGATCTCTGTGTTCTGCCTATTCATCCCTCTCCCAGCTCTCGCTGCCACGGATATTTTTACTGTCTGTAGTTTTGCCTTTTCCAGAATGTCATGTATTTGGAATCGTAGAGTATATGCACCCTTTCCAGGACTTGTTTCTTTTACTTACTGTATGCATTTTAAATTCCTCCATTTCATTTCATGGCTTGATAACTCACTTCTTTTTATTGCTGAGTAATATTCTCTTGTCTGATGTACTACAGTTTGTTTATGTAATTACCTGCAGAAGGACATCTTGGTTGCTTCCAATTTTTATCAATTATGAATAAAGCTGCTATAAACATTCACATACAGGTTTTTGTGTGGGCACAAGTTTTTAACTCATTTGGGTAAATACCTAGGAGCATTAGGGCTGGATATATGGTTAGACTATGTTTAGCTTGTAGAAACTTCCCCTATATTGCTTTTTGTTTGTTCGTTTGTTTTTGACTGCGTCAGGTTTTAGTTGCAGCATATGGGACCTTTTGTCGTGGCGCGCAAGCTTTTCGTTGCGGCGCGCAGGCTTCTCTCTAGTTGTGGCATGTGGGTTTTCTCTCTCTAGTTGTGGCGCATGGGCTCCAGAACACATGGGCTCTGTAGTTTGCAGCA